GTCGCCAGGACCAACTCCTTGACAATGCAGCCATTGAATGGGCTCCCTTGGACTGCCATTGCCTCAGGGACTCTTTAAGGGGAAAATTAGTCACCGAGGTGGAATCTGGACCCTGACCAGGCAATGAGTCCATTTCTCTAATGCACTGTGGAAAGGCCAGTGAATAAGCCTAGGGAGAGGTTGCATTCCCGGCTCTGCCACTGAGCTGCTAGGTGACCTTGAGCACTTCACCTAACCCCACACCCATCTCCTCTCCCATCGCCTTCTTGAACCATATGTTCCTTGAGGCACAGACTCTCTCTGACAGTATCTAGCATAGGTTGGCCCTGCTCTCAGCTGTGATGATAACCATTGGAGGTTGTTGAGTTTTTCCCTTGTTTCAGTTGCTTGGCTTTCAGATCGCCGGTACATTCGTCTCCTAGAGAAGTCCCCTCTTTTCTGTCTTTCACTTATGTTTCACCTGCAGTTAAATATTCTGGACCAGTCCTTTCCTTTCATCTCCTCGCTTGGAGGAGGGTAGCCCCCTCCTCCTGGCTTTCTCTCCTCCATTGTATGTGGTTGCGGGGCGTTAGGACCACCTTTGAAAATGGCTATTATCTCCACTGAGCCGCACCTGCGCTTAGCTTTGCAGCAGACAAAAGGAGCTGGCAAGGCATGAAAAGCCTTTTTTTAACTCCAGGATGACACGCGGCATATTCTGCCTACGAATGTGCTGAATGGGAGATGAGTTGCCGGCAGCCTATCGATCCTTTGCCTTACACCACACTAAATATTGATAGATCATAGGGACCGACGAGTGCTAGAGATAGGCCACGGTTATCTGGGCTATTGCAGCCTCATTATTTCCTGATGGTAACTACAAATCCTTTCAGTGGGGGAAGAGCCTGAGTCTCTGTGCTAGAGGAAGCCTGCCACCGGCAGTGAAGATGTATTGATCCGGTCATAGCATATTAAGGTTGTTGAAGAGCAGATGTTAAAAACAGACCGCTTGGCATATATCAGCCCCTGGCAGTATCAGCTGCACACATGTTCCCATTTACTTGTTGAAGCAATGACTTTCCTCCTGTTTATTATCTTTCTCCTGGGCCGTTCCCGAGCACTTGAGTCAGTCCCTTCCAATGTGTCAGACCTTCCTGAATCACCTCTTAGCCTCACTTGCTGGAAATACCCAGTAATCCTTTAGTCCAAAGGACCCCAGTCCATGGCACTCTTATGAGAAACAGATGGAATAATACAGCATTTTTCATGGAATTGTGGCTGTTGCTATTGGGTTTTTTGACATTTAAAATCCTGGTGTAGAGATGAGACATCAAAAGATTTAGGACTTGCTAAAATACCGGTAGGGAGGCCATTTGGAGGGTGCAAATCTGTATATGACCACCTGCCTCAGCACTTTATAGCTTGAAATGCTGTTATCCAAGCATGGCTTGGGAGCGAGTTGCTACAAAGCCAGAGATTGGTGGGGAGAAATGCAACGTGTCTGCTATTCAAACCTGAATGGAACTTGATTTTGAGCATTTTCTTCAACCAGTGATGATGGCAACTTAAAACCTGACAAGGGCAGAGTCCCCAGGCTGTTGATATGATATTAAAAATGACAAAGGTTTCAGAGCCATCCTTTGTTAAAATGAATGGTCTCCCAAGGTCATAGCAGTGTGGATCACGTAAAGGTGCATAAACTACAAGGACGTTTCCAGCATCTTTCATGAATTCATTGGCTCAATGCTTGTGTGCACAGGGTTTTCAGGGGGATTTTATAAGGGGGGTGTGGTTAATGGAGAAAGTCTACATGGGCACAAACAGGAAGCCATGTCTTCCTTCCCAATTACAACACCACTGTCTGCCTCCTTGCATAGCATATGAAGATCTGTGTGTTTTCTGAGCCATATTTACTGCATGCTGCTGGTTACTTATTGGGAACAAGTCAGGCAGAGGTGCCCCGAGTTGCAACCCCGTTCACAATACCACCCGACTGTCTTCATTGTCCATAGCGCTTGCAGACTGAGGCAGGCAGCCCATGGGAAAAAGCAATATGTGGTCGTGACCGTAAGAAATGACAAATACTCCCCCAGGACTTTGGATAAGCAGCCTCATTTTTGGCATTGCCCAGTTCTGATGGCTTTGCTCTTGCAGTCATAACCCACTTGCAACATACTTTGGCTTTCCCTTCTTTTAATACTGAATCTGGATATGTTCTGCCAGGCAGAGACCATAAGCTGCGCCACACTGTTTACATAGGCTTGCCCCCGTTCCAAGGCAACTTGGCATTTTGTGAGGAATTTAGCTGCAACACTAATTGCACTAAATTTCATGGAAGCAGATGGGGAAAGGAGACAGCCAGAGATTTAATAAGTCCTTTGAGTACTTACCAGTGGAAACACCTGTCCCCAAATTCATTAAGAAAAAAATGATTGATGAAGATGTATTTTTTTTTTTGCATAATTATAGAAAAACCTAAATTGTACAACTTTTTATTGTCCTCATTCTTTTTGCCTTACAGGCTGCCTGGGCAATCTCATTTTTTGGCCATTTGGCTGGGGGAGCACGGGACTCATCACACAGCGGGGTAAACAGAGATGTAAGGGCCTTATCGACATAAACATCTCCCAGCAATGGTTTTGCAGTTCACGGTGAAGCTCAACCTTTTATCTCTGGCTCCACCTGGTATTTCCATACAGCCCGTAAAGAACACAGAGAAAAATCTCTTAGGCTACAAACAGACCCTGGGTTAAAATGGTTTATCCCAGGATAAATTGTGATCATTTAGCTGTCCATGTCTGCTGTCCCAGGACAAATCTTAGAAAGGTTTATGGGATAAGAAGTACTAACAGTTTATCCCAGGACATTGCAAAGTGTGTCCGAACAGTGATCCCAGGATTGCATCATTGAATCAATGGCAGAAAAGCAGCAACGCATTGCTAAATCCTGATTAGAAGGGCAAGGTGTATACATGTCAATCCTGGGATATTTTTCCTTTGGGACAAACACGGGTAAAGCTTGTCCAGGGACAAATGCAACATCTCTTCCAAGGCCTTACTGGCGAGTCTCCAAGGCCTTGATTGCACTATCATTTTGGCATCCCTACTTGACGTTAGTCACTGTCTGAACAGCTCCAGGGTCTTCAGTTGATTCTGGGAGGAGAGATGAGTCCATGTTGGCAGCACGGAGACCCAAGGGGCTCTCTCCGCTGTACCCAGGAGAGGTTTCCTCGCACTTTTTGTATACTCCTATGAGTCAGGCAACTTGGGTTTCACAGACAGCTGTGAGCTGCTTTTTATGTAACTCAGCTTCTGAACACCTGCCTTCTCCCCCTCCAGAGCTGAAAAGGTTCATGGCTTCCAGGTCCCGTCTGTGCACATGGACAACATGCATCTTGCAGTGTGGGAAGATGCAGAAAGGGCTGAGATGCTCCAAACTGTGCCATTCATTTGCTGTGGAGCAGGAGCGCGTTGCCATCCAGGCCTGTGTAACTATCGAAGCAGAGAGTCCCTGCTCACAGAGCTGAAGCATTGCTTAGAGGCTGTGCCAGAAGTGCAGCCCAGCTTTCCATCTCCCAGCCCGAGGCACTATCCCCTAAACTAAACCACAGCCCCCTCTGCTATCCTAGCGGGACAAAGAGGCCAGGGTACATGCAGCAGGGCTATCCGTTCCAGTGTCAACACCCACTGGGGAGCAATAAAATAAATCTGCCACTGTTTCCAACTTGTTCCTTCAAGGGGCAAAAGACCCTCTCCTACTCCTTAGGAATAAGCCAACAGCATGGCTCAGACCTCCATCCTGTGGGATCCACCTGAACCAGGGAGAAGCCCCAGAGCGGTTTAATGTCTTCGCTCTGGCTACATAACCCTGCAAAGCCTCTGTGGGAATAAACACGGGCTCCAGCCAATGCATCAAGTTTTGCAGGGCCCTCAATAGCAGGCTGTTTCAGAGCTCAAACACCATCCCTGATCCCTGGCAAACAGGTCACCATTATTCCCGTGCCGAGAAAGCTGCAAGTTGTTTGCTCAGCTCAGAGGCTTGCGAGCTGAATTCCTGCCTTGGATCTCAGCAAGCGCTGCCCAATAGCAATGGCTAGACATGACTTCCAGAAGACCTGCCCCAGCTGAAACAATATGCCTTTTGGAAAATGCCCCAGAAAACAAGGGCCTGGGGGTTTATTTGAACAGCTGGACCTTAGCAGTGGACTATTTTTCTGAAAACTCATGCTGCAGAAAGAACGCATTTTGCCTTCAAAAGAGAGCAGTGTGTACTTGGTGTAATTCCTTATTACAATGACTGAAGTCATGGAAAAGCCCCTTATTTTCAAACCAGTTTGAGCTTTCGGAGAAGAACAAGGAGATCAAAGCGTGTTGCGCTTATCGCAGAGTAAACCCGCCAGAGAGAGATGATCCATTCAAAACCCAAGGTGCAAGCAAATCCCTGGGCAGGGGTCCTCCAGCTCTCTGCCGCCCTGCTGATCCACAGAGGACTGGAGTTGTTACGTCCCTCAATTACAATCTTTTCTCCGTAGCTTAAGATGCACTAACTTACACTTTAATCTTGCAACTCTGATTTGGTCCCTGCTGCATGGGGTGAGTTTACGCACAAGGAACAGTTACCAGCAGAAACATGCACATGAATTTATCTCCATAGGCCATAGACAGACACGGTTCTTCGGGTAGATGGGAGATCTTTAATTAGACAAACTAAATAGTTGCAAAAATTGCTCTTTGTAAGCTTTTGGGCACAAATACCTTTCTCCATAGTTCAGATGTCCACAGGCATTTAGGTACCTAAGGATGTAGATGGGCACATGGGGAGAATTTCAATAGCCCCCTTGCCTAGTTAGCACCCTGGTATCAGTGCAAGTCAGGCACCTCACTAGTTGAGGGACTTTTGAGACTCATATTAGCGGCCACTGTGGAAATCAGGCTCAGCTGCTGTAGTGTCACAGGTGTCTCGCAGGTGCTAATTACAAACCAAGGGCAGCTGGAGGCTCTGGATGGGTCATTCAGGCAGCAACAGTAGAAGCAGCTCCTTCTCCAAGGAAAGAGGCTGGATCTGGGACTGTGATTTTTGGTGAGTTTAGCAAAGACTATCTGCTGGTTCAACCTATAGGTCAAGGTAGGACACTCCAAGGTGGGGAATGTAATGGTTGAATAGGTTTAACCTTTCCTCCGGTGGTCTAGAGGCCTCTCCCAGGAGAAGGGGTCTCTTTGGCTCGATGTTTCACCAGAGACTTCCTTCTGGTATGTCTTTCCCCTACATTGCACCTGGTGCGCAGGAAACATGAAGATATTCTAGCTGGCTAATCACCTGGGAGAGCGGTGTTTGTGCTCTCCAGGCTGCTAAATGCATTATCTGCACCTTGCCTCTTGCAGGCTTGATGAAGCCAGCGTGGTGTTTGCAGACAGAGCCTGTCACCGAGGGATGCCTGTCCTAAAATGACAGAGATGATGCTTTAGATGGCAGGGCTGGGGGGGTCCTTGCTGGCTGCATCATGTGGGGGTACCTTGAGCGTTGAGTCTCCTCATGCTAGGCCCTGCCAACACAACCCGCGTGGACGCAACTTCAATGCAGAGCAGATTGGCTTTTAGCATCGTGCTTGCTGATGGGGTAGGGGTGTGAGGTGGCTGCATGCGTGCATGGCGGGACAGCCATGACACAAGGGGCAATTACATTGTTAGCACTAATAATTAATCCGTAACTCCACTTCATTGACCTGTGGGGATCTGTATCTTTGAAAGGGTCTCATAAGAGCCCACTGAAACTGGTGGTGGTTGTATTTCTGTGGGAGGAACTGGATGTTGGTCCAGGCAGAGCTCACCTGTGTGGCCCTTGTATTGGGATTTTGTTCAGCCGCTCTGCATCACAGCTTTCAGTACAATGTGACCTAGTGGGTAGGACACGGGCAGTGCTGTGCAGTACAATGTGACCTAGTGGGTAGGACACGGGCCCTGCTGTGCCCCTCCGCTGCCACGAGGAGCATGGAGGGGATGGACTGAGGAGGACTGCAGTGAGAGAGAGAATGAGATGTTGTACATCTTCATGATGAAAAATAAAAGGTGGAAGTGCAAACGTGGGTGGGCCTCCCAGGGGCCAAGCCCGAAACCCTCATCAGTAATGAAAAAACTCTTATTGCCAGAGACTGAAACCCCCTCCTCACAATGACCTTCGTGGGGTTACACGTTTAGGACCAGCTGTCCATCTTGCACCTTGCAGAGGACCCTGCCGGTGGTCCAGCGTGATGCACCGGTCCTCACTGCATGGCAAAATGAAGTGTCCCAACTCGAGTGTGCTGCACATCTGGAGAGAAAGCAAGAGGCAGAGCAAGTGAGGGTGTGTTCATGTTGTGAAGTGCTTCAGTCTTCACGGGGTGAGGAGCATCCTGGTACCCAGCTTCCTTCTCCTAGGCTGAAATGAGATCCTGAGACTAAATGTCACTCCCCCCCTTTCCCATGAGAGAGGCGTGCTCCGAAATGCCTCTGGCACGTACGCCGGATCAGGCTGCGCACTAAATGCAGTGGAAATAATCATATGCTTCTAACCCATCATATCCTTGTGCCCCCTTTCTATACCACAGCACAACGTCTAGGCGCTAATACTGCATCTCCTTCTCTCTGGACTCCCAGATCCGTGCTTCAGAAACTCCCATTAACCTCAACGAGCTCAATCAAGCCACAACAGACCATTGAATAAATATGTACTTCTCCCTTACACACCCTTTCTCTCGAAGGGGAGCAATCCCAATAGCTTGCACCAGAAATTCAGACAGTAATTATCTCTGTTATTCACCGCATATTAATCAGACTCATTATTTTAAAGCCGGGTCTGTCTTATACATTGTAATGCACCAAACTGGAAGTTCACATTGCACAGGAGAGACAGTTGTGGTAATCCTTGTAAGTCTGTCCTTGCCCCCATGGCATTAGGGTTGTCTGAATGAGTTATAATCACACACGTGAGTGCAAAAATTGATGTCCCCCCCAACGCAGAATAATCAAACTGGAGTTAGATACAGTGCTTAAAGGGATTTGTTCCCTGTCTCATTGCTCCTCCCCGCTTCTCTGTCTAATTAACTCTTCTAATAGAATTAAACAGCACCCTAAATATGGGACTTGCTTGCGATTTTTATATATATATAAAAAACCTACCATCTATTCCAAAGTACAATTACACTGACAAACTCAATTACATGCCTCAGTCGCTTCTGAAATTACTCGCTGATATTGAACCGTGCACAGTTTAAGTTTCATTGTTAAGAAAAAATCATACACACTTTCTAAATCATACACTGTTTACAAAAATACGCAGAAGTGCTGCTTTTTATTACCTGTGTGGCAAAAATTAATTGGATGCCTTGAAAGCAAATGAGTAAAACTGGAAGGCTCTCTTCATGCTGTATCCTTTCCATTGATACACGGTACGTTAGAGGAATAGATAGCTCATTAACCTTATTAGATTCTCGTGTTGGTAAATAGAATTGCAAAGCGGGAGGAGAAGGTGTCTGAACCAAGATCCTATCTGCATGTGAATGACCGCCATCAATAACTGCGCTTCTCCCAGTTGGGTTTGGACAAAAAGTCTCCTTACTAGGTGTATTGTTGCTCTGAAAAGGGTGAAACTTTTAAGCCTGTGCAATTCCTGATATTGTAATCAGAAACTTGGTTTTAGTCTCTACAATGAGCGTAAGTGAATCTGCAAGCTGAAAATTACATTCTAATTAGATTTGCCCCTTTGAATTAGCTTTAATTTGCATATCTGCAGGGGGAGAGAAACTTCTAACAATAGCCAACTGTGTCTCTAAGTTGGCTCTGAATTTCCAAGTCATTGCCTGTAGCTGCGTTGGTCGAAGGACAGACTTTCCCTGTGCTTGAAGAAGGGCGGTTGTGCCTGAAAGCTTGCAAAGAACAATTTTCCCAACTATTTAGTTGGTCTAATAAAAAAAAATAGCACCTCTAGCCAAAGAACCTGTCTGCCAGAGTTGTGTGACACTTTTTTCAGGTCTTGCACAGCTTCCATTTGCCTTCTGATGTACTTCTATTGATGTTCAAACCGTGCTCCAGAGTGAACAGCACTATTTTAAAGTTAAGGGATGGAGCCTAGTCAGGAGGTGTATAGGGTCTTGATGGCTGGAAATAGTATGTCAGCACCAAGTCAGTCCAGAGTCCTGGGAAAGCTGCCCCTGGACCCACCACACTCGCCCACCTACTGCTTGCACGCAGCAAATGGGCCACGTGATGCTTTGCACATCTGGAGGGGTGAGAAGTGGAATAGCAGAGACCAAAAACACCCGGAAGATCTTGGAAAGAGAAGTTTGCTCTAATCCTAAAACAAATCTTATCTGGCAGATTGGCTTCCATACATGGTCACTGACTGCTTATCGGCTCACAATCCTGGTCTGATGAGACAGGAGAGGCTAGGCTTTGTCTATTTAATTCTGGGAGGGAGGGTGCATGTGTGTAACTCTGGTATCCTTAATAACAGTATGGCCTGGCGGGGTAGGGGGTACATCTTAAATAAGGGCAGCCTCTTGGATCAGTGTAGATTCGGGCATGGCTGTGCTGGGGATAGACAGATCCGTGAGCAGTGTTGCTGACTCCTTCAACCCCTTTCCTCTATTGCTCTTGGCAGTTTCTTCCAACAAAAGCATGACAAAATACAACATGACCCTCCTCTTGCATTTTCTGCCTGCCTGTCTCCATCAAGTCTCTTGTCTTATGCTAAGGTTGTCAGATCTTTGGGACAGGAGCCATCTTGGTATTATTCTGTGTTTTTCTAGCAATTAGCCCAGCAAGCTGCTGCTCTGTGGCTGGGTTCCCCGGTTTGGCTGCAATACAAATGAACAACAACAAATGGAGGCAAAAGTCCCTGATAACGTTGATCAGAGGGGTAGCCTTTTCAGGTGTGTGGTTTGTAGATGCCGCACATCCTGTTTCAATAATTATTTGCTTTGCTGGCTGGAAAATGCTAATATTTGCTGGCTGACATACAGGTAAAACCAGTTCCTTCATGCAACACCGAACATAGAGGGAAAACCCTACAATCCAGCACTCGTTCTCTCTCTCTCTCTCTCGTATCCTGTGTCTGTCTAGTGCTATGTTTGAAGCTACTGTATCGCAGAAGACCACGGGTGTGTTGGGGCAGCTATACCACTAGCTTATTCAGGATTAGACCATGTACTCGGATACTCTGAGTATTTAAAAAAGAAAATTAGATGTGATTCTTGGCAGACAAGGTTCTTGGGGTGAATCTGATACCTTTTATTAGACCAACTTAAATAGTTGGAAAAAATTTTCTTAGCAAGCTTTTGGGTTTAAAAACCCTTCATCAGGCTGAGGAAGCATCTGCACTTGGTGTGTGCGCTCTTCCTTTCCTCTTGAAGTGCTTCATGGTTGGAAAAAAAAATCTTTTAGGATCAAGGCAAAATACCAGTAGTAAATAAGGACTGAGAAAAGAGGTCGTTTCTGCAGAAGTCCAGAATAAAACTCGCTTCACAAAAGAACTAATACTTTCTGCAGAAAACAGCAGAATCGTGTCCCATTTCAGACCTGGCGTTGTCGGGCTGTTCCCCGTCGATGCCTCATTCTTTATTCATTCTGTGCATGTTTCTGCAGTCACCACTGATACATTAGATGACACTTGCAAAGGGTTACAGAGCTGATACAATATTAGATAAAAATTACAAGTGAGAAGCTATTTTACTGCTATTTATTTTCATCAGCTAAGCATCGCTCTCCTAAATGTCATTCCAGGTGGGTCGATATTGGCTTTTCACTCTTCTGAAAAGTTTTGTAATTCTTTTTTTCGTGGCTTACGTATAGAAATCAATACTAGTTTGCAATTTGTTGAAACTGTGAAATGGCCAAGTTACTACTAATATATTCCTGGTTTCTCTTTGCATTATATTCCCATCCACTCTGCAGAGCGCAAATAAGATTTGTTTTTAAGTGAACCTGTGTCATCATACAATTAAAACAGAAAAGTTGCTTCCATGCTCATATATGTCTGTATTGGTTTAATTCTAGCTCTGGGATTAATTATTAATCGAGCAAGCGAAAGCACGGCCACGGGTCCAGTCCAGCTCCTATTGAAATCAACAGAAATCTTTTTTTCATTGATTTTTGGTGGAAGTTAGATACAGCCTTTTTTTCCAACCTGCCCCTTGGAAATTGCTAGACTATTGATCACTTGGGGATACGGCTAAGTGAGAGACTCTCTTTCAGAGCTATTATTAAATTTGTACGGGGATTTTATAAATACCCAGTCATAATTATAATTCATGGCTCACCATCTCTGATGCCCTTAATTTCTTTCCCTCCTGGGACTCCTTTTCTACTTTCTTTAAAGTGGTTCTCCTCTCCGTGTGAATTGAAATTTCTCCTGGGAAAGAGAAATACCCTTTCCCTGCCAAGACCCAGAATAAACCGGGGGCATCATCCCGTGGTTCAGTTCCCTGCTCGCTCTGATCTAGAGCAAAGCCTTGAGCGTGGGTATCCTGCAGACCTGCCCAGTTGTGTGGGCTTATAGAGTGCGTCTGAATGATTCTTTAATTGTTATATAAGTGGACCAGCTCCCTGAGGAGAAACTGAGACGCCGTGACCTACTGGCTAAGGAATTGCATGGACGGAGGAAGAACCAGGTGTGTTTCTGTCCCAAATCAAACAGAGGAAGGGCTTGTCCCCCAGCCTCCCTGCTGAGTGATTGTAGGCAGGCGTCTCCCTGTATTTGGCCCGAAATTCATCCTGGACCTGAGAATATCTTCAATCCACCAGTTCTAATAGACTAAAAAACTGGAGTCGTTTCCCCGATAGGATTAAAACCCACATTTTACTGCTACAAAATCACCTAGGGGTTTGTTGCTCCCTTCAGCAAAAGCAGAATCGGGGCCCAAATTGGAAGAGCTCGCGTGTTTGAATGCATGAAGACTCATTTATCTAAAGAATTAGCTAGTACTGTACAGCCTGCTTCCAGGGGGACAGTAAGTAACAGGGAGTTTGGTTTGCTGTGTCTGAGCAACATCCAGCATCCCACAGCAACTTCTCTGGACTGAGACTACCATCTAGTGTTCTCAAGACAGATAGCAGCATTCGAGGGGCGAAAAATGCACAGTGCTGTGATTGCTCTTGTAATGCATTACGTGTGATTACCTCCCTCCTGTGAAGTATTTACAGGAGTGAGGCAGACTGTGTGCACCACAAAGTCCCATCTCTTTCTCTCTCTCACTCTCTTTTCCCCCCACTTTCCATTTGAACTAGAATAGAAAAGCCACCCAGCCCTGTGTGCTCTTGGAAATGTGTATGCCCTGACAGTTTAATTATGGCTGTCGGGACTGAATAATCCAGCAGGTTTCCATCTCTGGTTTTAATCCACTTTACAAGACTGGCTGCTTGTTGGCAGGGAGCAAGACTGGTGCAGTTTCTCAAACACTGCCCTGGAAAAATGCTCTTTAACGGATTAAGCAATCAGGATTCACGGTAGAGGTGATACCTTTTATTAGACCAACTAGATTTTTGCAAACCTGATTTTGCCAAAAAAACATGTGTTTTGTTCAGGTAGCAGAGCTTGCTGTGAAGGTCCCTTGCTGGGGCCTTGTATTTGAAAGCCTGTAGAAAGCAAATCTGTCGTGCGTTTGTACATACAACATTTTTTGCTTTTTCTCGTGCTGCAACGATGTGACTGTTTGCACGAGTGGGTTTTCCAGACACTTTAAAAGTCTTTCTGGCACATTAAAGTAAAACTCCTCCGACGTAGTTTAGTTTGGCTCACCGTGAATTAAAGCATCGTGCCCGTGGTGTCTTTGCATGCAAGAAAGCACTCAAAGATGTGTAATGAGCTTCTTTGTCCACCAGATGGCACTGCAACTTTTTTGTAGTTTGCCCCTGTGAATTGCTTCTGCTTTTTTTTTTTTTTTTCTTGTGCCATTTGCCAGCTCCCTGCTCCCACAACTTCATGGCAGGACACAGGGTGGGGAGTCCTGGGCCAGAGGGGCAGCGCTAAACCATCGCACCCTCCTGTGGTGCTGGCCAGGAACCGGGCTTAATTCATTCGAAAACCTAGTGCGTGCAAACACTGATGCAATGCTCCAAAATGCACAA